ATGCATTTATCTAACTTTACCTTCACTCACCATCTGCAGGGCTCCACTATATTCTTTGCACAGAGTTCAGAAAGCACAGACAAATATTTAAAATGAAGTAAGAGTAATATTTAGGTCAACTTTGCATAAACATTATAGCAAAGAAATTAATGTTAAAAGGAATCATTTATGGACTGATTTTAGATGTTTCAGACGCATGGTTTGGCAGAGAACGGATGTGATATGAAAAGAGAGGTTCCCTGCTCCTCAAAATCGCCCAGTCAATCTTTCAGTAAAGCTGGGACCTATTCCCACTAAGCTGCCCTTTGCCTGAGGAAGTGAGGAAGGAGGGGGCCAGGGGTCTGCCATACAGATGATCCATTCCACAAAGCGAACATTCAGCACAAGGGTCCCAGGGCCTACAGGGACTCTGATAAAGCACCTGGACATTTTTATAGACAAACTACTTATTTTTTTCCCCTCATATCGCTTAGGACGACTGATAACTTTATATTTCTCTAAAGCGCTGTGCTGAAAAGGCTGAGGGAAAAGGCCTTTCAGCAGTTTAATTGATCAAGACGAAGCCATGGGGGGCACCTTCAGATAAAAGAGACGGGAACGTTTTGAAGTACAATGGTGGAATCTTTTTTTGGAAGGAACCCAATAAGGAGTAAAATATGAGTCATTACTTAAACTCATTGTGGAGCTTTAACTGTATGTCGCTTTTAAAGTACGCTTTTTGTAGACCTATTAGAGACAGGGATTTATTCTGTTGAGTACTTGTTTTATACTTAACCCTTATTGTTTTTTCTTTGTATCCTGGGGGAAACAGACATGGGGCAACAAGCAAGTGGGTCCAATTTGTGAGAAAAACAATATTGGGTCCCTGCAACTACTCAGTTCAAATGACTTGGTATGAAAAATCTGGCATCAACTTGCCATCTTTAACTAAAGGTATTCCAGCATAGTTTGAATTTCCTTGACCTTTAGGTAAATGTGGATATATGTTGAATGTGTTTTTCATATAAAAGGTACAAATTGTAAAATTGAAAATAATATTTGAGGGGGAAAGGTAGATAAATAAGTCCTACTGCATTAGAAAACAGAAATTATAAATTGTTTTTTATGCCCATGGCCTTTTAATGGTTAACTCAAGTAGAATAGTTTTTTGCACTTAATAAAAGTGAATTTAAAAGGGTCAAATAGTTTAACATAAATTAATTGTTTTAAATAGCCATAGGATGCCCTTCAAGCAGGCATACTTTTCAAGTCTATTTGCATTTCTACTTTGTATTTGCCCTTGAACTATTCCTTGTTTTCACAAGGGTCGTACCTGTTGATAATAAGACGAACTAGGCCATACATCTGTATGCTCCAAATATATTGCAACATATGAAGAGTTCAGATGCAAAACCCTCTAAGTGCCATCTGAAATTTTCTTCTAAAATTAGCATTTTTATCAGGCTCCTATGTTTAGGTTCAGTCATTTTACTTTAATGGCAATGTATATAGGTCATTTTCTATGCCATTATAGTGAAATAAATTAACATAAATATAGGAGTCTGATAAAAAAATGCTAATTTTAGATTAAAATTTCAGATGGTACTTAGAGGCTTTTGCATCTGAACTCTTCATATAGACAATAGCTCATCTCATCCTTACAACTGCAGTGAGTTCATGCACACTAATCAGCATATTGCTTGTCACGTCCTAGTGCTCTCATTACACAGGAACATCATTTCATTCACAAATTATGGACGTAAATTATTCAGAACTAATAGATTGAGACAGACGGTGGCAGCCTCTAGGATAACCTAATCACTTCACTAAAAAATTGCTACAAAATGGGACTCACTTGAAAATTCTGACTGTCTGAAAATCTGGACAGCAGTTTCAATGTTCGCTTAGTAGGGGGGTTGTTAGGTTTTGAGACACAACCTCGGTTTACATTTTGCAAAAAATACAAATTATTCTCTCTGCATGCACGCAAGTATTTAAAATATAAAAAAATGCAATTGACATCCATTTTCAGTGCCCTGTTCTTGTTAGACATCACAAAATCACATCCAGAGAGGGTGGAGGGCGTTTTAGTGAGATCTCTCCTCCCTTTCGGCCAGCGAAAACAATGGTTAGAGTCAACATGACTTTAATTGTCTTTCTTACCTTCTGTCCGTGCGCGCGGTGAGCTGTACAGATCCTCGTACTTACTGCAAGACGCAAACATACAACATGACATCAGTTCGTCTTTTGTCGTAGATGTATGAAAAAACGGAAAAAACGGACGACAAATGTTGCTTTGACATGCCGTTACATCCGCATATAAATGTAGCCTGAGCGTCGAGAGCGTCGAATAAAAGATTATCAAATCGAGATATCTGCATTCAGATGCAGGGACTGAAAAGATGCTTTTAAATGTATGCAAGGTGATGGCCAAAGCTGCAGCCGGCGGAGATCTGCATATGGAAATCAGGATAACCTTGGGTCCAATTTTACTTAACAGTGATGTACTGGTTATTAATTAGACCGGAGTAATGTGGGGCAGACCAAGGAACTTAAAAGACGTATTAATGCATCACGATTCAAAATCACCTCTCCTATTTCTTTACTGCCAGCCTGGAGCTGTGATTTAAACGACAATAACTCATTTATTGCATGTAATGTCAATATATTGTCGTTTTATATGTTGCGCGGTCTTTAATACGTTTCATTACTAACAAAGACAAAATACACAGTAACTTTTCGACGTTTCAATCACTGTTTGCAATGCGTTAATATTATTACAGATCCTGAGAGCGGTTTGGATGACCGACATGTTCTTGCGCTTGCGCAGTGTTGCTGTGACTGTAGCGCGGGAGTGCAGTGATACATGGTCGTTCATAGACGCAGTAGTTGTCAACAAGTGTTGAAGTAAGTGTTATTACAGAAGTTATTAGATCCTAAATGACTGAAATTGGTGTATCTGTTAAAAATGGTAGGTTTCGCTTTCTGCTGATACAATTTCCAGGTCAATAACTCACAATATAGCGCTGTAGATCTGAAAGAGAAGTGTTCACTGCTAAAAATAACAGCGTAAACCAACCTAAGATACTTGCTGGTCTTTCCTGGTTTACGGTTGCCTTAAAGCCTAGCCAAGCCAATGTTTTTTGTTTATGATTTTTTTTTTAATGGTTTTTTAATTACATTAAATTGTCTAATTCGTGGTTAAAATGTTTTTGATTGCATTATTTTCATTGTCTCTTTCAAAACTCTTCCCAGTGGTCTATTCCATCCTGTTGACATGGAGGGGGAGTTCTCGCAGTCCCTCACCCCACCTGTATCCCCATCTGCTCTGGATCATTATGGTGAATCTGCTCCCAGTCGGCCTCCATGCTTCACCTGTGCTTATGAACCAGGTAGAGAAGAGACAGGACGACTGTCATCAAATGGCTACATCAGCAGAGGAGCCCTGAAGAGGTACTAAGTCCTGGTGTTATAATGATGATATACTCGGTGTCAACCTGTCTTAAACTTACATCCTCTTTTCTCTATGTTTAGGTTGCTGTTGAAGCTCGATCCAGCTCCTGTGGATTTTGAGGGGGACACGGTTGATATTTTTGACTTCCCATGGGTGACAGAAACAGCGCTGGTAGAATCGACCAAACTTCTGTTTGGCTTGTTCAGGTAGGAGTGCAGGTGTGTTGGCTCTGGAGGATTGCCATGTTGTCTGCTGAAACAGGAAGTCTGCTAATTTGACAATCTGTCTTTCCTTTCAGACAAAAGGTGTTAAAACTGGAGACGCTGGTGCAGTCCAGCTCACATGATTTTGGTAAGCATGTGGAGACAGACTTTTTGGGAAGAGTTGTTACAGTCTGACAGTACTTTGCAGCCGAAATATGAATAACTATATTTTGACGCTTTCAGGTCAAGCGAGCAGTCTTCATTATGAGGCAGAGGAACTGAGACAGCAGTGTGTGCTGTTCCTCAGCTATATCAAGGTCTTCATTTACAGGTAGAGAACAGATTGCTGTGGCTTGATAGTAGCGAAATAATATCCAAAACTGGTTTCACGTTGTGTTTTGCTCTCCAGGTTTTTGGAGCCCTCACAATCCCTAGATGAAGGTCCTGTTCATCCCTTTAAAGACGCAGAGGCTCAACTGCCCTCAGTCTTGGTGGAGGAGCTCTTCAGTATCACACAGCTTATTGGACGAATCAAAAATCTGCCAGCCAACGTCCAGAGTGCTCTTACGATTCAGCATCAGGGAAAGGTACTGCAGAACACCTCTGCCATTTTCACAAGATAAATTATATCTTTTAGCCTATTGATGATATTCCTCAATATCTGGTTATGTATTTACTAAATGTCCTAACAGGATAGTTCACCCAAAAATGAAAATTTTCATCTAGTCACCCTCTAGTTGTTCCAAGCCTGTAGGAATTTTTTTTCTTCTTTTGAACACAATAGAACACATTTTGAAGAAGGTGGGTGACCAAACAGTTAATGGTCTCTACTGACTTCCATGGGATTATTTTCTGTTTTAAGTTCATGGGGACCAGCAACTGTTTGGTTACCCACCTTCTTCAAAATCTTTTTATGTTAAACAGAAATCTCATACAGGTTTGCAACAGCTTGAGAGTGAGTAAATGATAACAGGATTTTAATTTGGTTGAAATACTATTTAAATAGGGATATTTATTTTATTTTATTCAGAGGAACCATATTTTGACTGAACTTCCATTGTTGCCAAGTACTATAGGTTAAAAATGTTAAATGCAATTAAAATAATCAACACAGGAAGAGAGATCATTTTTATTTTCAGTATATGAACATATATTTATGTAACAATACTTAATATACAGCTACATTCTTCTATACAAGACACTACTCTTTAAACGTTTGATTTGCTAAGGTTTTTTAAATGTTTTTGAAAGAGGTATTTTATGCTCACTACACATTTGATTAAAAAACAGTAATATTGGGAAATATTACAATTTAAAATAACTTTATTTAAACACATTTTAAAATTTATTTTTTTATTCTGATGGCAGTGGTTGTGATGGTTTCATTAAAAGGAGCAGTTTGAAAGAATTTAATGGAAATGAAATCACAAATTAATCACATCTTTATCAGCATTTTTGCTCTCTCGGTTAACACATTCAGTCACACTTTTGGCCTCTTTGGATGGACTTTTAAAAGGTTGATGGCCAAATACAGAGTGGTTTAAAACTAATAGAGTATTGATCTGCGGCACAAGTACATTTTATTATATTTCTCTCCCTAGTAGTGAAAGAAAGTGGCATAAGGAAAAAAATCTAACTCCTCTTTACAGCTCTTTCCTCCATCTTGGCAATTATTGCATCTGCACCTGGACATCCACTGGTCTGTTCTGGAGATCTTGCATCTGTTGGAGCAAAGGATGATGGGTATGTTGCAGTAGCTGTCTCTAGATTGCACATGTGGTCCTGAATCTGGGACTGTCATACTAACGAGTGTTGGGTCCTGGTGATTTTGAAAGGTCAGGTAGTTTATGCGCACCAGTTCGTGAATTTGACAGGCGAGACGCTCACAAACATCAGTCTGTTTGAGGACCAGGTCAACAACCTGCTCTGTGATCTCATTGGCCTGGCCATGAACAAATATAATAAGGTGTGTGTTTTATAACAAACATAAACATTGTGTTGTAAAGGTTAGGAGTTAGAGCAATCTTTCATTCTCTCGCTCTCTATAGGTGAGACCAACAGAGACTTTGAACAGCCATCACTGTCACTGCCTCTGCACAAAGGAATTATGGATTCTACTCATACATTTACTGGAGCACAGGAGCAAAACCATACACACTCAGGTTAGCACATACACAATCTCAGTCAGCATAGATGGTTGTTTCGTATGATTCTTGATTCTGATTTTTTTTTTTTCAATCCAGTCTTTTTGGAGTTACGTAAATGCCCTGCTGCAGACTGTCCTGGAGGGGACGCCTTCAGGAGACCGTGACCCAGGTCTCCCCATGCACTGTAAAGACCCTGACGGCTTCACCTGGTGGTTGCTCACACACCTGGCCCAGATTGGGATGCACAACCGGAACGGCACTGCTCAACAGGAGGTAGATCAACACAAACTAGTATCACACGATGAGATTTTATTCATTTTAATAATGAATATTACATTGGTGAGTTTGTTGCCATTTCAGAAACAACTTGAGGATAATTGGAGCTTTGTGATGGGGCTGCTGAAGTCTAGCTGTGATCCAAAGGTGATTAAAATAATATTTCATATTGCGGTGTATTATGTGTTTATTTGGCTAATATGCTTGTTTGTCTTGTCTGTTTATGAATAGTATTAGATACATTTTTGCACTGTGCACATTGTGTATTCTGAAAGGTAAATATTATTATGATTAATTTTCAGAAAGCTGCACAGGAAGAACAGATACGAATGATTGTCCACTGCTGCCTCAGCCTCAGCTTGATGTGGGGCCCAAATGTCAGTGTTGTCACAACGCTATGGGAGTATTACAGCAAAAATCTAGTAAGTCATTACTGCAATTTATTTTGGTTATTTAAGCCATGATGTACAGTGGGATTCAGAGGTTTTCCCAGTTTGAATCTGGAAACAATGTTTTAAGAATTTAAATTATTATATATTATATTATATTAATTCAAACTTGGGGTGTCCATATCAGCTCATTACTGCAAGATCACATAGACATTAAATATTATTTCTGTAACTGGATACATGACATACTGTGGGACCCACATTTTTCTCCCATTTAAATCTGTAAATAAGTTTTATAAGTTAAAAGTACAGTAATTACATTTGATCATTTTAATAAATTAATTATATTACATTATATTTACATTAACTTGTCCACATCAGCTAATTACTGCAAGATCACATTCACATTTTAATTTAATACTATGTTTTAATAATTTAAATTCACTCAAACTGTTGTTGTGCTGATAATATAATTTATTAATTGGAAAAATGTCAAATTAAAGCATTTTCACTAGTGATCTCTACAATACCAGCTGTAGTTTCATAGCGACTAGATCCATGCTGAATCAGATTTTTTGCAGGGTTTCTTAGAATTGGACTTGAAGAATATATTCAATATATTGAAAAAACATTTGATGTGGACTATATTTTAATGCTGCAATTAGACAATACTTTATCAGTGTGAAAGACACCCTTCAGTACTACTTCTAATTCTGAACTCTCTTCTTTTATGTGTATGCAGAACAGCTCTTTCACCGTGCCCTGGTTAGGTGTGTCAGGGCTGGGCAGTATCAGCAGGACTCCCCTCTGTCTGTTGCAGCAGGCTAAGAGCTGCTGTAGCCCTGCATCTGTCGGCTCCAACTCTCACACGCAGCTCTACCGCTCAACCAACTCCTTCCATATCTTCCTGCGTATTCTGGCCCTTCACCTGAGCCAGGAACATGCTGGCGGCGCCCCCTGGAGACAGATCAAGGGCAGGTAAGAATGAGCCTTGAGACTCACACCTATTTTCAAAGTTTAGACCTCGTCACCCCTACGTTCTGGTTTCAAATCAGTCGCCAATTCGGTTGGCCTGGTTGAGCTCCGGTAAGAGGCTGAAACAGACAGAATCTGGATAATAAATTTTTCTGTCTGGACCGCGCTCAGCCATGCGGCAAACGCGAAGGCTAATTAGCTAACAAGCATAGAGGTTAATTCACCTTAACGCAGGCGTTCGGGCTTCCAGCAATGCCGTGGCGGGGGCTGACTTGGCCGGCTCCAGGACCACCTCTTCCTCCCCTATACACGCACAAACACACGTGCCACACGGGGAGGTGTGGGCTGCGCTGATGGCACTCGGGCTTGGAGCGCGCTCGGTGGGAGGCACGGTGCATTAATGAGATCGGCAGGGAGCGCGTTCAAGCTCGTAGTCTGGGAATGAGCAGCATCTGCTCGTGGCAGGCGAAAAAAAAAAAAGCTGTCCATGATAAACAAACAAACAACTAGACAGGCAAAAAACGCAAACAATATCTTGACAGCCTTCCGTTCTTCTTTGGCTCATTCTCTATCTCGGGTAAGTCTCTAAAAGCTTGCGCCACTCTCTATCTGTGGTGGCGACGCAGCTCGACTCCCCGCAGCCTTGCGTGATGTGTTTTTGTCCATACATTTAACGGATGCTCAAAGGCCTGCTTGTAGTGCAGTGTGTTTGTTATGGAACCTGCAGGGTTCTGTTTGGGCCAAACAGTCAACAGTAGAATGAAGGGGGGAGTGGAGCAGGTCAATATTGATTTCTCCTTCTGCGCTGCAGCAAATTGAGCCACAAACGACAGTGCAGCTACCACTGTGTGCCTGAGTGTTTTTGACATTTAACATGGTCTTTTAAAGGCATTTCACCGTGGTGCCCGGAGGATCAAACAACACTCTCTCTCACACACACACACATAAGCAAACTTGCACATGCTGCTCACAGGCATAGCTTTCCAGAAAGACTGAACGTCTGGAGGAGGTTAGCGATGAGTTGAGTACTTGGGTTGAAATGTTTGATCCTGATGGACCCCAACAGCTTTTTAAAGCTATGGCAGCATTTGTGTTGTGGAAATATCATTGGAATGAATTAAACATTGATCAGTCTTGAGTCAATGAGGAAAATTTGTATTATTTGTATTACACTGAACAAAATTATAAATGCAACACTTTTGTTTTTGAACACAGATCTAGACAGATTTGTGAACAATATTTGAGAGAAATAGGCCTTTTGTGTACATAGAAAAAGTCTTAGATCTTTGAGTTCAGCTCATGAAAAATGGGGGCAAAAACAAAAGTGTTGCGTTTATAATTTTGTTCAGTATATTTGTAGACATTGATTGTATATTAGGGCTGAGTATCACCAACTACTCATCACAATACAAATTTCACTGTTTCCATCCAAAGTTACGAATTAAACTTGGCCTAAAATTGGAATATCGCATAAAACATTTGTGAATAAAGCACCGTTCAAGTTGAAGAGAACAAAATCATCACTTCCTGATAAACTTTCGCTAAATATCACGGAATTTTTTTTTCATTTGCTGCAGTAGGAGACGGCACTGTATATAATAATTTTTGTATACAATAGATTACGAGCGTCAAAGCGCTCAGACGAAATGTGGTCATGTTATCTTATTTTTGGAGCCTGATATTTGGAAACGCAGTTCTGGGAGTTAATTATAACAAAGCACTTTGACAAAACTTTGCTCAAGCATTTTAGAATGACAAAACTAGCATTTCAGATGCTGTGCCATGAGATCAGTCCGTTGGTTGGTCCAGTTTTATGATCGTCTTTTTTGATGCGCATTAAGGAATTTATTTGGTAAAAGTGTTTCCATCTTAGTTTGTGCATGTTTTCTTACTGGATAAGAAATGTATCCGACTTAGTTGAGACCATTTTACTAGCAAACTCAGAATTTTAGACTCCATACATTGAGAAATTTCATAAAACGCTTTCGATTCAGTAGATTCAGTAATTGAACTGTAGGAAATAAGAACATAATCCAATTCAAATTATTGATTGATTGTATCTGCACAGTATTTATTCCACATTATGACCATGTCTGTCTCATGTGTCCACAGACTCTACTCAAAGTTCCACCAGAGGCGAATGACGGAGCTCTCTGACACAGGCCTGCTGCACTTCCTGCTGCTTTTCCTGGTCCTGGCGCAGTGTGCGGAGCTGGAGGACGTGTCCAGCCGAGCGTGCGACTTACTCGCCATGCTGCCCGCTGACTCCACACCCCCGGCCCTGCGCGCGCTGCAGTGGAGGGGCCAGCTGGCTCTCGTGCTGCTGTATTTGGAGAAGGGACTGGATGCTGGCGCACTGGCGGAGCAGTTGGCCACCTACTTCAGCCAAGCGGCCCGCGAGTTCTACCTGAAGACCACCGAGCCTTCGCGCAAGCTAGCTCTCTGGGCGCCACTTAGCTCGTACCTTGAGGGGGTGAGCGAGGTGTTCGAGACGAGTCCTAATCTTACGATGTCAGAGGAGAGGCTTCTGAACGGGGGCTTTGGACTGCTGCTGCCTGCCTGCCGTCAGTCTGAGCTCAGCTCCGCTTTGGGCTTCCTGCAGACAGTGCTGGCACAATTACGGTGAGAGTACACACACGCTTTACTTTAGACGTTAAGATGTGTTTGTTCCTCAAACACACGTCCCTGTATCGCTTGTATGTTGACAATGACTTGATTGTGCAGTAGTTATAACGTAGTGTGGAGATAAGCTTATCCATTGTGCACAGAGCCCCTGTAAAGTCCCCTGTGCATCTCTAGGGGCACACGGCACCCGGGTCAGCCCGTACAGGTGCTAGAAGAGAGCTGTGTTGCATTTCGGCCCATGGGTCCGGTCCTGGCTGGAGACAGCTGAGTGTGGACTGAGCTGAAGGGAGGGACAAGTTCATGGCAGGGACATCGGTGTGCCTTACATGGCTAACATGGTCAGAGGTGGCTAGGGTGCAATCGAGTAAGGTGTCCGGGTTTGAAATCACACACACACACACAGACCTCCAAGGTAAAGAATCCACTGTTTAAGTGTCCACTCCTCTCATTTTACCCAAATCAAACTCTGAATCACTTTAACACTACTAATTCCCACAATTCACAAGCAGGATCTGTGGGTGGGAGGCCACTCATTTGCACATTAATGGACGATAAAACTGAGGCGAGCAAGTTTTTCCCGAACAGTCTCATGTTGGCACCAAGATCCCGCTGACCCAGTTTAAAGAGATGGGGCGCTCTTCGACGTGTCCTTACAAATTACTCTTAATTTACATTTACATTTAGACATTTAGCAGACGGTTTTATCCAAAGCGACTTACAAATGAGGACAATGGAAGCAATTAAAAATCAACAAAAGAGCAATGATATGCAATTGCTATTTGGCAAGGTTGAGTTGAAGGTGATGGTCCTTCATCCAACAAGAATTCATCCAGTTAGACAAGCTGAGATGCGAGCAGGTATCAACGGATCATCAACACCAGTGTGAAGGGATGTGTTAATGATGTGAGTGAGTGCAGGTACAACTGCAGGAGAAATGGCTTGAAGGAGATGAGATGGAATAGGATCAAGCGGACAAATAGTAGGATAATTAGGAAGGATGAGTTTGGAGACTTTTGCCGAAGAAGTGGTCCAAGAACTGAGCCCCGAGGCACCCCAGTAGTTAGATGTTGTGAATTGGACACCTCACCTCTCCAAGATATTTTGAAGGACCTATCTGAGAGATGAGACTCAAACCACAGGAGTGTTGAGAGTTAGACGAATTGTTAATTTTGTTATGATAGTATGTCCTTTTAACAGTGGAGACATTAGCAGAGAAGGAAGAGAGGGGTGACTGATACACATTAAGGTCAATAGTATTTTTGTTTGCGTCACACCCTTTCAGCAGCCCTGAGCTTAGAACGATGATCGCGGAGAACATCAGACAGCCAAGGGGCAGAAGGGGTGGTACGGCCTGGCCTGGAAGACAAGGGGCAGACAGTGTCTAAACAAGATGTAAGAGTGGAGCAAAAAGTATCAGTAGCACTGTTAGCATCAAGAGATGATAACTGTTTAGGGGGAGGAAGCGAAGATGAAACCATAGCAGATAGCCAGGAAGGTGAGAGCGAGTGTAGGTTACGTCAAAAGATGACATGTGGAGGGGTATGTGTTGTGTCAGGAACCATGTTGAGGTTAAGAGTGAGGAGGAAGTGATCCGAGGTGTGCAGTGTTTTTTGTGTGTAATTTCACCATGGTTCTGTTGTATCGCTTTTTATTCATGCGTTTTCACTGACACAATTAATGCATTATTATGTGGTCCGGTAAATTGAACCCTGGCTTCATTACGGCTGTTAGGTTGGAGACGGCATGCGCAAGCCTTACGTGAATTAGCCAGCACGCGGCTATGGGGCGATGTAAGGCAGACTGTAACTGACGGATGATTCACGCAGATAACAGGCCAGGCTCTAGTCACGCTCTAATTCTCCTCATCGCATTCCCTGCCACGATCCTCTGTGTGTGTGGGCAGTGAGATCGCAATGGTGACCCCTGCAGCACGTCTTTGCCAAGTGACTAATCGAGTTCTCGCCAATCGATTAATCCGGTTCCTTCCCGCTGCGCTTTCACAGTGCACACCGTCTCCCCTCAGGAGAACGGAGAGCATGGTTACACTGAGCTTAAGAAGGGAGGTAGTGAGAATTATCTCTGTTTCTGTTTCTGTTCAGCACAGCAGGGGCTGTTTGTCAAACTCATTTAAGAACACAAAACTGTTTTTATTCATTTAAACTATTAGGACAAAATAGCTTTAAAAGGATGCAAGAATTGTAGTGAATATAGACTGAAGGTTTGTTAATGAGTTGAACATTTTCAGTGATTCACCTCTTTGACTATTTTTAAAGAACTAACAGGGTTACATTACATCACCGCTATGAACTATGATTTTCTATTGTTAGTGAGTTGCAGATGGTAACTCCAGATATTCTCATTCTTGAGAGCTTTTGTTTGGATAAAAACCTGTGTGGTGCAACATGAGTCATCAGTGTTTTTGATATGTTTTCTAGGAAGAGAATGACATTTTAAATTATTTTTGTCAATATTTAGGAGTACATTTGCACAAGATTTTCCAGAGGGGGAAAAAGGTGTAAAAAAAAATGCTTTGGACCAAAATTTATTGGGAAAAGTGCTGTACAAAATCGATTGAATCATTTTAAATTAGTAATAAGTAATTAGTAATATTTTCTAGTTTCTTCATTTAGTGAGAGTAAAGACATTTCTCATTTCTGGAGGATCACATGGCAATAAAGATTGGAGCAATGGCTGCTGAAAATTTAAATTAGATAAATTAAATTTTAAAATGTATTAAAATGAAAATTATTTTAAATTGATATATTCCACATTCAAAAGATGGAAAACCCCTGAATTAGCATATAGATAATACACAAGTTAAATTTTGATTTCAGTAGGTCTATGACTGTTGCTTTGAAAATTTAGCTAGGATTCATTTAGCTGTTAATTAATATTTAGTATGCTTGCATTACATTAATTGTACTGAAATGTTCCCTAGAGCAAACCGAGCCTACAGCCTTACTGATGGGAATCTCACTCAATAACTCTTCACTACACAGTTCACCCTTCAAACGTTGACGTTGATAGCCTAAAACCTACAAATGGTTTGACATATTTACTATTGAAATGGAAAGCGAAATGTTTTCTTCTGTTTTCACAAGCACACTAGCATATTGATTAGCCTCAGAGCTTATAGACACAGACTAAAAGCCACAAAACTTGATATGGATTTCATGCCGTCTGTCCCCACTCTAGTATGCCTACTTGCTATTTTGAAAGCCATATTAACTCATACTATAACACATGCATGGTCAGAAATAAGCACCATTGCTTAATGTCACAGTGAAGGACGTGCTCCTCCATCAACGGGGTGTGTGTTGAGCGATACGGAGATATCAGAGCTTACGCACAGTGTCAGATGGCGTGCTCATGATGCTTATCTGAGTGTGTGATTCCGTGTGTCAGTTTACACGAAGGCGCCCGGCGTGATCGTGTAAGTCGGTGTGTACGTTCCAGAGGTGTGTGTTCAAAATCTGTGCTGCAGTCCGGGGAGAGATTAAACGAGTGTTCAGATGGTACGGGGTGTGTGCGTATAAGATGCCGCAATGAGGGGATTAAGTGGGGTCTCTGATGATGTCTTGTACAATGAGGGTTGATGGGTGTGAAAGGCCCATTCCGCTGCGGTAACGAAGCTAATGAATTCACTCTCTAATCGATTGTCTCAGCTCTCCGTGGATTAGATGCAACCTTGCTGGAAGGCACGAAGGTGTGTGCATGTGCGCGCACACGTGACGCTCGCCCCGACCCTTTCCCGGTGCTCTCACTTTCATCGCTGAGAATGACAGGACAGGAGGATCATCTCCAGTCTAAATGAGATTACAGCCCCTTCAGCTGCTTATCTGAGCTAATGCCAGCCGCTGCAGAGCCAGACTCGTGCTCTCAGCCTCCCATTCAGACCCAGCCTCACAGCTACCGCCAGGCCACGGAGGAACCGCTTGCCCCACACCAGCACATTCTAATCCCTCTGTCCGGAGAGATGAGGAGAAATCACAGCGAAAAGAGGGCAGATAATACAGACAGTGAGAAAGGCCGCAGTCACATTTAAGAAGGTTGAAAAGAGAAAGGAAGATTGAAATAGTATAGACGAATCTGGATAGATGAGATGGGGGAATGAAACACAAGAACTGACTTTAGGAAGAGAGGGCCAATTATTTTGAAGCTCCTCACACTTGTAGTCTGCAACAAAAAGCCAATGACACTATGATAAATTTCAAACAGTCATCAGGTGTGTGTACTATCCTGATTATGGGGGAAAAATGGGAACGGCAATGGAAAACAACATCAAACTGCTCCTCACATATGCTTAACCATTGTCTCATATTTTTCTTATTATTTTTAAGTTCCTTTTCTTCTTTATAGTACAAAAACAGACTCACACTGCTATTAAGCGAGTTTCTTTGAGAAATTTGGAGACTGGAACCAAGGGGGTCAAGGCTGGATAACACATACTGTAGTGTATGGATTTATGAAAGGCATATTAGCTTTTTAAAAGTAGCTGTGTATTCTGACTAACACAGTATATAATTTTTAAACATTGCTTTTTTTTTTACATCATATATTTATATCATATAAATATCTAATGAATATTTTATAGAATATTCAAAGGTTTGGGGTCAGAAATAATTTTTTTTTAAGAAATTAATTTTAGCAAGCATTAAATTGCCATCACAGGAATAAATTCCATTTTAACATATATTAAATAGGAAACCATTCATTTAAATTTTGATTATTTCACAATATTACTGTAAAAAAGTTGCCTTATTTTTGATCAAATAAATGCAACCTTGTGAACACAAAAACCTTTCAAAAACATTTGCTATGGTATTTAGAATATTTATATAATATTTACCGCTATCAATTTATTATAGATGGTTATTCCCCGTTTTGTTGCTTCTGGAGGGAATAATTGCATAAAGTGCTCACCAAGACGAAAAACTGCGAGTCTTCAAGTGTGTGCTTGGCATTAATTTGTTTTTCCGTTTCTCTCTTTAGGAGAGTTCACCAGCGCTGTGGCCAGCCGTCTCACTCTGTCGACTCTCTCAGTTGGGTTCCTCTCCCCAGCGTGGCTAAAGAGCGCCACCAAGCGGTGGCAGCGGCGCTCTGGTCCCACTTCTTCCCCTTCCTTTGCAGCATGAGGCTTTCCCAGACCCCCCCGCCACAGCTCGCGGACGCCGCAGCAGGTCAGGGAAACGGAGAAAATGAACTCTTTTTCTCTCAGGGGCTCTCTTTGCATGGCTGCCTTTTCTCTGTGGGCTCTGCTCTAAAAGGGGGGGGGGGGGGGG